GGACGGATGCCAATGCATAGACGTCGGCTGGAAAGGGGTTGAAGAAGCCACGACGATTGTGGCGATTCTCAGGATAGAATTGAATACTCGGAGGCGACACGGGAGTCGTAAGAGCCGCTGGAATGGAGCCGGTGTCGAACCGTTGCGATCTGTCGAAGTCGATGATATAGTACCGGGGCCAGATGTGTGTACGCGTGAGATGCTTAGCAATGTCAGTGTGGGGAGCGGTAGCCCATGTGTGAACAGGATGATGGCCATGAGGGTATAGATCTCGTGCATCCATCATGATGTTTAGTACTGTAATGTCTCTGCCTGGCGTGAGTAACGACAATGCTAGAGCGGTGCATCGCTTACTTGTGAGCAACGTGGTGTCGGTGCATGTACTCGAGGCCCTATCAAAACGTCTGAGACTCCTAGCACTATAACAGGAGTGTAGACTCGTTACCTCAAAAGTTTGACGGGTGCAATCGAGTGCTTCTCCCACAGTATCGAAGATTGGCTCGTCAATTTCATATAGCCGAGGCATAACGATTATTTGGGAATCCTGGTCAAAGGGAGATTGCAGGACGTCCCAGACTGGCACACAATGGTTTTGAGGCTCATCTTTCCGCTCCGGGGCAGAGAAGAAGAGAGCTATTTCAAGCTCTTTGGTAGATCGCTTAGTGGAGAGAGCTTTAAGCATAACGGGTTTCCCATCGTGTGCTCTGGTCGCATCCATGATGTATGGCTTCTAGATGTTATATTTAGCGGGTCTGCACTTTAAAAGGAGGAAGATATGATACGCAACGGGATAGATAGCACCGTCGTCTCGATGGTGTATCTTCTCATTCTCTGACAGTTTGAGCCACCCCGAGTCAGGACGGAATTTGGAGCGCAAAATGTAGCCAGAATGATGTAGAAACGGCTGGTGTTGGAACCAGTAGCCCTCAAGTTGAACCATGATGAACGCTTAAAAGTGAAGCCTGTTGCTGTGTAGACCCTATAACATGATCAATCAAAGTCAAGTAGCGGGCAAGTCTGTGTGTCTTATCTATACTCTAAACACATTTCGGCATCCGGAGGCCAAACCTCTTCGTTTATGATAGCGGTCGCGTGGGAATCGAGGCCCGAAAGGGAATGAACGCTCGGCCCCATTCTTTCCCTTCCATTATGATTTCTTCTCAGGCTGTCTTAATCCAGTCGCTACTGGCACCTTTCCGCGATAGGTGTGATATTAAATGATGTCGGAATACTCTTTCTCCAGCTGCGCCTGATCTTCGCGTTCCAAGCAGTGTCCCGAAAACGTTGACAAAACGTCAAATTTGCAGACCGTACTTTCTACGTCGCGGTGAGCGAACAGCGGGCTTCCGATTATTCTCTAATATAGGGTAAGAGACCGCCTTCTGCTGCAACCCGCCTCTGGTTCCTGCTAGTGCGCCAGTCGCGTCTGCCCCACGCGACTAGATTTCTCAAACGCTAGAATGCCCGCATATTCCGCACCGGCGATAAAGGTACGAATGCAGCTTCTCCACTCTCCGACTCACAACAATCTCTGCGCTTTCCCCCCCAAACTAGAGCTCATCAATCACTTGTGGAGAAAACTCGTTTGAGAAGAAATGTCTTTTCGATTTTATTTTAGTTTTCGATTCTCTAATGGCTATGTACTGATACAAGGCTCTCTGAAAGTCGTCAACTCGCGCGTGTCTCTCCTGATTGAATTTGTTATCGTGGCTATCGCCGGTAAGTACACATCTTACTCCCCTTCACCGTACGAACGAGCTTTTCAATAGAGGGCGTGAAGCTTGAATACCTTCAACTCATCCTATAAACAATTGATCTCCTGATCATATTGTCCTCTTGTTCTCTCGCGTCATTTTTCCGCATGCTGATAGTGTGGCGCAGCCTATGCCGCACCTTCGAACAGACAACCCGCCTGAAAGAAAATCGTTGAACGTACAGAGGAGATGTTACGCGGACGTCTCCACCACAAATTCAGGCTTGATGCGTTGCGCTGCAGACTGAGTGTTTTCGACTTGGCAACTATGATTTTTCGTTAGTCAGTGCCGATTGTTGATTGCGGATTCCACCGATGTATTTCACCCTTCATCTACTAACAAATTTGTTACTAGACTGAATACCCTCCTCTACGTGCCGCATATATGATTGAGCGCCAGGTGTCACGACACTGCGCCGCATTGTTCGCCTAAATGGGACGGCCTTACGATCATGTGATCCTGTCACATTCTTTTATTGTGCCGGAAACAATGGAATGACTACTTTCATCCACCACCATGTCGTCTGCACCCTCTCGTCCCTCCCACCAGATGGCCGTCGCGAGACCACTGGCAGCATTACAGGACGTAGACAGTGCAAACCAAATGTCGCCCAGCAGGCCCCACAAGCGTGTCAAGGCTAGCGCTTCGGTTGAGTCTTCCAGTCAAGTCGTGGCGACCGGGGAACGAGGAGGAAAATCACTAAAGCGCTTGTTCGATATTCCTTTCGACGTCCAATTAGAGGTGCATAGCATTTTAAGCTCTGACGTACTACCTTGTTTCTCATTTCGTGTGCACTAGATATTGTCGCACTTGCGCGTAAGCGACCTATTGAACATGTGCCGCTTGGAGCGGCTGCACCCAATCCTCATGAGCGACTCGACAAAGTCTGCCTGGCGCAAGGCGCTGGAGGGAGTGCCAGGTCTTCCTCCAATCCTCGAGGGCTTGAACGAGCCGCAGTACGCAGAGCTAGTGTTCGACAAGCGGTGTCATGTACGTGTATTCTTTGGTTGAGTATTCGCATTCTTACTCGCCGCTTAGCATTGTTTGAACGTCACGGACTATATTCAGTGGGCCATACGTATGAGGCTTTGCAGGACATGCTTGTTCGATTCGACCATGTGTGTGCAACGCGGCACTTTTACCTGGACAATCTCACTCATTACTTGTAGTATGACCACCGAGAACGCACTTCGTTTTCAAAATCTTGGAGATCCCACCAAAGTCCGCGACCTGCTAACAATCACTCCACATTACGATATTCCAGATGGTATGTATTCTTCCTCCGAGTCTCTTGTATTCTGCAAATGTTGAACTTGTCCGGTCAGAAACGGACCACCGATTGTATCATTGGGGCTCGTTGCGACGGCTCATCCAGGAGAGCGCTGCCCTCCGGCGTGGAACGTCGCAGTATACGACCTGGTTTTCGCAGAAACAAGAGGAGCACAAGGATTTGGTTCAGGTGAGTCTTTATAGATGGCAGAGATGGATGAATATATTCTCACCTCCTTTGACAGTCCTACGAGCAACACGAGATATGGTGGATATCTATTACGACTATCCGACCTGCAGAGGGAGTCAAGTGTATGAAGCTGCGACATCACAGGTACCGTCACTCATTACCCGTTCGGCATAGGCTGACGTCGAGGTAGCATCGTGGATAAACTGAAGGCGGATGGGTGGGCAGCAGAACTAAAGCTTCCGCAAACCGCCGGTGCACTAGTAGATGGGCACCCGCTAGTACGTCAATCGAGGATACTGATCGCCCGAGGTATGTCTCTTCTCACCGTGTCCCTTCGTCAAAAATCTAAATCCATTCAGAATGGGAAGCCATGAGACCCACGCTTACGGCGATCCTGTCTGAAATTCGTGCTGATGAGCTCAAGCGAAAGTGGCAACGTGCCATCTCCGAGCGAACGAGTGTCCTTGAGAAGCTCTGCAAATCCTTGTTCACAACACTGCCGGAAACGCCACGCAATCCACCTGCGTCGGCGCTTTGCGTATATCAACCATTCCTCAATATTATCAACAATACGCCCCCTGCAGAAGACGCCACGACTGCGCTAACAAAAGCACTGGAGAATGTCCCCGCGATATGCGAGAAGTGGAGACAGGAACAGGAGACACACTTAAAAGCCCTCCTCCGAAACCTGGGACGCAGCGAAGATCTGTCCTTGGTCGTCAACGGCTTCACCTGCTCGATCACCGACCACAAGTGCACCCAGCCACATTCAATCTTTCATTATCCTTATTACGCCAATCATCGCTGTTTCTTGTCCACTGCTGTTGTCGGTCACGAAATTAAAGTCGAGGTTTGGAGCAATGAGACCGTGAGGGCTATAAGCCAGATTCAGTACGACCACTGCGGGAGCGTTGTAAAGATGGGCGGTTTGAATCCGGCGACGGCGACTGCTGAGGATATGGATGGCACGGATGTGTTTTTCTGGTGTGAGCTTTGTGACTCGGGACGGAAGTCCGTGAATGGTTTGAAGGCGTTTCGTTTCATGCGTTGGCGGACAGCTATGGTGAGTCTCTTCTATCCTCCTAATCGCGATCGAACTGATTCGTTGTAGAACCATCAACATGCCGAGAAAGTCCGTCGTGTTGTAGATGCTGAACTACTCGCCTTGGGGCGTAGACAAGAGAAACGCGTTTTGGAGAAGGAACTGGAATATGATTTTCAGGCAGCTGTTTGTGTTCATTGTAATGTTGAGGTGTATGCACGGGCTGAGCATCTTCGTTCTGCGTGAGTCCCTTTCTTGCTACTGGAAATTCGTTTCGCGTACTGACTTGTTTTTAGGCATGGTATGGATGGCGACTTCGAGGCTGTGGACCATTATAGACGTGGATTAAGGTATATGGGGTTAAATGGGCTGAAGGTTCAGGTTTGGCGTCAGGACGGGGACAAGGTTAAGAATTGAGCTTTGTGTTATTGCGTAGATTGTAGATTTTATTTGTAAAACGTGTACTCCGGTTGATTTGTCGGCCAGATATCACTTAGGAGCCAGAACAGTCTTAGATCCAGAAGTGCGGGGACGTGAGGAGTCAGAACTTCCCAAGTCCATGTGCATTCTTAGTTCAAAGGACGTTGCCCCGAAGTTGCCTTGGGACTTAGCCTAATGTCGAGTTCAAATGACCTGAACCTTTTCCGTGTGACGAGTGGTGATTCCAGTGGCGGGTTGAGTCTCTGGAGTGGTTGTCGGATCCGGACGCTAGAGTTAAGGACATCTGTGTAAGCGTCGATGCACAGACTTCGTAGCTCAGTGGCCAGAGCATGCGATTGCAGTTGGCTCAGTATCGCAGGGTCACGTGTTCGAACCACGTCGAGGTCTCTCTAATAGACAGATTCCGCTGACATTTTTTCCTGGACGTCCTATTTTTCAAAGAGGGGATTGATGATTGATTATCGGAAGTATATGCAGGACGTATGCTGACTTGATGCTGACTGCCCGCTCAGTGAGATCAGAGAGCCGCCCGAGAGGGTGTTCGAGCGATGCGATGCGAGCGATTGACTGTGGTGATTGCGTCAAAGGTGTTAAGAGTCACGTCTCTATGGAAAGGGTGTCAAGAGTGAATGATGCTAAGCCTGTTGCGTTGTAACATGCCAGTGAGGAGAAGCACTTGTTGGAAACTTGGTTCGTTGTCTATGATTCTAGTAAATATGTCAAGCTGACGTTTCTGCTCCTACTTAACATCCAGTAGATAATGGGTTATGCTTTGACTACGGGACGATCAGTTATATGTAGCTCAGAGTCAGAAGAAGGCGTTGAGCGGACTAAGAACTGACTCATCCTACGATCACCTGACCGCGGCGATTTTTAAATTCACGCCGGTCTCTTTTGTACCACCACCATCCTATGCCGCCTCGTCGCTCCCAAAGGATTGCGGCGGCGAGCTCGACGTCGCGACCGACGCGCTCTGCGACTCCTAAATCCATACCCGGAGCACCCCCTGTCCCCAAGCCAGCGGCCAAGCGCCGTCGGATGGCAACTCCGGAATCCGAAGAGGACGACGTCGAGGATGACGCCGACGCCGACGATGACGACGACAGTGGCAACGCTACCGACGGAGAGACAGCAGAAGATAAGGCGCCTGCTCCCAAGAGAAAGGAGAAACGTGCCAAAGGAATGGCATCCGACTCTGCGGTGCAAGAGGCGCCAAGCCAGCGGAAAAGAGTTAGAGGGAAACGAGGCATATTGCAGAAGATGACCGATACTCCGCTCGACGTATTGTTCGAGGTCCGTGCGCAGCTTCTACTGGTATTTGCTTTTGTCTCAATCCCAGTTATAGATATTCTCATATTTGGACCCCATCGATTTGCTACGCATCAGCCGGACTACCAAGGATCTTCGCCAGCTCCTCATGAGCAAATCTTCAGCTTTCATCTGGGAACGGGCGAGATTGGCTACACAAGGAATACCCCCAAAGCCCGACGACCTCAATGATCCTCAGTATATCAATCTATTATTCGACAGGCATTGCCATGTAGGTTGATCATCTACGCCGTGAAATGCTAACTCTCGAAAAACTCTGCAGGAATGCGGCAACGGTTTCACTCAGAGCGTGCAATGGGAGGTGCGTCTCCGACTTTGCAAGTATTGCTTAGAATCCAATGCAATGTGAGTTTGCGTGAATTGACCAAATGATTTTTGGTTAATCGACGTCTTTCTGTGTAGCATGACGGCGAATGTTGAACATCTTGCGCGGCTGTCACCCCGATATCAAGACCTTGCTATTATAACGCCAAAATACACCCTCATCGCATCTTCGGGACGTTACTCATGTATTTGTGTATCACTCTCTCGACGACATAGAGCTCACTATATGATTTCTCAGCGAGACGTACTACCTACTATCATTTGGCGACGTATCAACGCCTTGTTACAGAATGTAAGAACACTTCAGATTTTCGAGCCTGGTTTCCGGAACAAATCCAGAAGTACACGGCTCTTGCTAATGTGAGTTCTTCGCTCGCTGATTGCTGCTCTCCGTATGTTCATTCTGGTCCGTTTCTTGGTAGTCGTGCAAGCCATATGAGAGATGGTTGACGACCAAGAAGAAGAGCCGAACGGCGGAACTGGCCGCCCTTCGCGAAAAAAGACTAATGAGGTACTGGATATTTAATTAACCACGCTTTCTCATGAACTGAAAGTGGTTCAGTATCCTCGGACGTCTCCAAGCTGATGGGTGGGCTGAAGAATTGAAGGACTACGACGCGCTGCAGACTATTCGGTCGCACAAACTTGCCAATCAAGCAAAGGCGCTAACGGATCGGAGTACGTTTCTTCTTCCTTCATCCGCTCGTTTACCCATGATTTGCAAGTTTGGGACAATATCGAACCTACTCTCACTGCGGTAATGTCAGGCATTCGTGACGAACTACTTGCGAAGAAGATACGCACCGCAGTTCCTAGGCGTATCCGCCTCGTGATGGACCTTTGCAAATCCATTCTTTCAGGCATGCCTGAAATTCCAGTCATTCCAGACTCTTCCATTATTCCCAGTCTCCAACCGTTTCAAGATATGATAAAGAACACGCCCTACGACCAAGATCTCCTTGAAGATGATTTCGCCGAAGCAGTAACGACTCTACCCGACATATGCGCATCGTGGCGCCAGCAGCAGGAGAATGAGCTCCAGTCAAAACTCTCTGCGCTCGGTCGAGATGCCGATCTATCGTTGGCAGCTAACGCTTTCACGTGTGCCCATTGCTCTAGTCATCCCGTTTTGCATTATCCCTACTTTGCCTCGCATGGGTGCTTTATCGTTAGGTCAAACATCGATGGCATCCTAACCACGTCTTGGGATTATACGAGGATAAAGGCAGTCGACGAGGATATCCGTACGAAGTGTGAAGATATCATTCGTTTATGTGGTCTCGACCCGGCGAGTGCCACTATTCAAGACCTGGACGCTACAGATGCATTCTTTCGATGTGATTACTGTCAGACCAGGTTGTGGCAACCTCTGGGATCCAAGGTTTCCTATCTCATGCGCTGGCGGGCGGCCATGGTGAGCATATCAAAGTTCGCACCGGCCTATTGTACTGACGCACATATAGAACCACGAGCACTTTGGAAGACTGGAGCGTGTTACCGACCCCGAATTCCTTACGCGCGCCAAAGCCGAGATGCTTTCCTCGTTGAAGCTAGAAGTTACGTCTCAGTGGTTTTCAGCATACGCCTTCGTTTGCAATCACTGTGGCGTGGTGCCTGTCGGCCCAGAAAATCGGGTGGAACATCTGCGTACTGTGTCAGTCTATTTTTACGCCGACTTTGTGTTGCACAATACTGACTCGGGAGGCAGACATGGTATCGCTGACGGTCTCGAGAACCATTATGCTCGTAGTGTGAAGAATGTGTCGATCTCGAGCGGTCTCCGAGTAGATGTGCCGGTCACAACGCCAGACGACACATCGATTGAGGCGTCTACGGCTGGTGGTGCCGGTGATACGACTACGATCGTCACTGGTGATGCTGCCGCTATGGTAGCGGGAGAAGAGGAAGCTGAAGATCTGGGTCCTCAAGATATCAGTTCGTCTTCTATCGCACCGCTCGATTTTGGCGCCGAAGAAGGCGATACTGGGGATACCATGACTGATTCTGAATGATGATGCTTTTCGAAATGTGGATCGCAACGTGTATACAATTAACTTGCAGGTTTAATCGATGTGTTTTTTCTTTACTCGAGATCCGTTCCTCCCCAACCAAATTGGACATCTTCCTGTTGATATCTATCCTCGGCAGCGAAGACCACTTCACCTCATACACGTTTTCCCATTCCTTGACTGACTTTTCTCCGAAACCTCTTTTAGTTGCTTTCAGGTACTCGTTGGAGGCAATATCTCATACTCTTACTGCTATGCCACGTGCTGCGCAGCACGCGCTTGTACCGACTCGGATGTGGCGTCCATCGCACAATCGCTTGACCGCGGCTCTGACATCTCAATAGCACGCTTTTAGTATATAGGTTGCTGGTCAGCGTTATCTATGTTCTCCGATAAGTCCTATAGCTGATAACCCGTTGCTCATTTAGACACGGCATGGCGCTATGGATTTCGTTTGAAGAAGACCAAATGGCGTGCACGGTCAGCTGAGGAGCTTCACACTCGATATAATATCACCGCTATCATTTCATCGAGGATTATCTTTGGATTGATTCGGATTTCGTTCACAATAGACATGGATTATTCAGTAGCCGACGATTGACTCGGTTTGTCTTACAATCTGACACCTATGATTCTGACCTACACTTTCTATCGAACAGTCACAAATCCCACATCTCCACCCTCGAATTCAGATCACCGGGGTAGAGCCTCTACGCACGCCATCAAAACTTCCCCAGGCGACACCGATAGCGTCATACTAAACCCTGATTAGTCCAGTCCTTCTCATTTTAATCAGCTGTACTGCGCTGGCGAGGAACCGATATAAACTCTCACTCCGCGAACTATCCACTGTTATCAACCTCCCTCTCCAACGTCCTTGTTCAATTCATCATGGTCGCTCAATTTGGATCTTTCGATTATGTACCCGAAACCAAGGTACGATTCGAATCGACTTACTCCGTAGAGAGTTCGAGATCTGACGACTGATTATAGGAGAACCTCGACTGGGCTGAACTCTTAACGCTCGATTTCAGTCTCTACAGCACCCCGGAAGGCCGGAAGCAGCTCGCGGATACGTTGATATACGCCGTCCGCGAGAAGGGCTTCTTCTATGTGAAGAACTTCAACATCACCCAGGAGCGCGTCGATAAGCAGTTTCATCTGGGGAAACGATTCTATGAGCTGCCCCTTGAGGAGAAGCTCAAGTACAAGCCCGAAGGATTGGGTGAGTGCGCATTTATGCTCCTCGTTGCATGGGACGTGATGTTGTGATAGAGCAGGGGAAGTTTAATGGTTATGTGCCGGCTGGGAGACGAATGTATGTCATGCGTCTTGATCATTCGATGGCTTTTCATTCATTTCCTTTTAGCATCGATACCGAAAGCGGTCTAAGGGACCGTGTCGAGATTTATAACATTCCGAGTGCGTTACTACTCAATATTGCTTGTGTCGTACCGTCATTTAATCGATGTGTATTAGAGTTCAACGGCGACTTCCCCCAGGTGCATCCACCTGTCGTCGAGGAAAACATCAAGGAGGTAGAACAGTTTGCTAGGGTGAGTATACCCCCCGCAACTACTATCAATGGTACTCACCAAGTCCTATAAAGTCGCTTCACAGTGAAGTCCTGGATCCCCTCTTTGTCCTACTCGCCATCGCTCTCGAACTCCCTGAGGACCACTTCACAAACATTCACCGGTATGAGGTGAAAAGCGAGGTACGTTC